GTTCACAAGCGAAGAAGTCGGTCGGATTCCGCCAATTACCGCCTAACAACGCTTCTACGTGCGCTCACAAAAGTAACGGAAGCCATCATTGCAGACATGCTGATGGGCTATCTGGAAAGAGGGAACAGCACGGAATTCATCAACATCGATCATAGATCACGAATCTGCTGAGAGCTAGTGATAACTGAACGGAAACGGACGACAAGGGGACAGGAACCGATGCTATCTACATGGACTTGCCGAAAGCATTCGATCGCTCGGATCAGCGAATCTTGCTTCACAAACTTCAGCAATACGGCATCGGAGATCAAGTATTAGGATAGATTGGTAACTTCCTCTGCGAACGGCAATTGGAGGTCAGAGCTCGAACATCTCTATCCGACCCGATTCGAGTGCAGCGTACCGCATCTCAAGATCTTAGCTTTCATTAACGATCTAACCAGAGTTACCAACACAAAATTCTTACACTTCGCGGACGTCATTAAAGTTTGGTGGGCGAACAAAGGGAATGGACGACCACGAGAGCCTCCAGCGCGACCTCAGTGTCGCATGGCATAAGTCAACGTGAACAAGTGCCGTATTGTCCACATGCGCCATCGACACGCCTACAGCTACAAACTTGGAGCACACGATCTGCAGACAAGCTCTCACAGAAGTGACCTCGGCGTGCAGGTACAAGGCAACGTCGGTTTTTTCAATCAGCCGGCATCCGCATCTAGAACAGGTAACCAGCATGTTGGTCTGTTGCGGAGTGCATTCGGGAGTTTGGATTCATTCATCTCTCTGATGTTCAACCCAATCTAGGCTTCGCATCCTTGGCTAAAGCATGACCTTACAGCGCTCGAAACGCCCCAACGTCGAGCAACGAAATTTCCAAAAGGATTGCCAAACACTCTGTACCAGCAACGACTGAAGACACTAGGAGTGTTCAGTGAACGCTTCCCGCGGCTAAGTGAAGATCTCATATTAGTCTACCAAATACCGATCGACCCGTCACATATGCCGCCAACTTTTGAAACAACCCGAACACCAACCTCAGAGGCAATAGCCTGAAACTGAGTCAACAATACAGTTGTCTAGATTGTCGACGAACGTATTTCTCCCTCGGGGTCTGCCAAACCTGTAACGACCTTCCAAACTCAGTTGTATGTACCCCTACCTTAGATGGTTTCAAATAACGACTGAATATCGTATTGAATGCACTACACTTGGTTACAAGAACTGATACTCTGGATATATTCCGGTTTACTAGGCTCTTTGGATTTACGATGGATAGTGTCGCACATGAATCTGTGCGAAGAGGTGAGCAATCTGATTGTTATTTGCACTGAGTATTATCTCATTACCACAACCCCCTTTCTATACGTCATTACCCTGCCGATTTATTGATACTTATTTAATTTGTCTAGTTATTTCAAATTCAAATTTGAATATTAGCAACCTACAGGCTTGTGTTTTTTTAACTATCACATGCCATTGTTCCATTGATTACACAGGGCAACAACAATTTCGATGCGTGGAAACAAGCAATGCTTCTCGTATAATTTGAGCAAGCTGAATTCAAATCTGACAGGAATACTTCCGTATAAGCCAAAGTTTTGAAAAGCAGCCAAGAATTTCACTTTTCGAACCTTTTAGCTACTTTCGATTCATCACATTGTGTAGAAGCATGGGGCTGTAAAGAAAGCAACAGCGGCTCTTATATAGTTTGAGCGTGTTGAATTCAAATCTGAGATGAGTTTTCTCTGGAACCTATAGATTTTAGCGAAAATGAGTTTCAGAATTTCTCAACAAACAAATGTGTGCACGATGTTGGTCTATGACTCGATGTATCTTACATTTATAAATTGACGCAGACATATATCCTGCACGCAACCTTTTGATTCGGCATGATAAGCAAAAAACTAGATGCACGACGGGCATTAATCGGGCAAAAATGTGTGTTTATAGCTTTTGCATTTATGTATATTTTACGGCAGTCACAATTGATGTTCCAACAACAGTCTGTTATCATGTGTTTGTTCCATCATCCATGATAACATTCCTCCATCGTCATATCTCGTTGATATTTTCACGAAGTCTAGAGGCTAAATACTCAGCCACACTCTTGGAGAGCCTCAAATCACGCACTAAGTCATTCAATTCTGGTTGAGTGAATTGCTGGGGGGCTGATGACACTTCAGCATCAGTTGAAGTCGATTCATGAAACAGGGCCCCATCTTCACGCCCACTGACTTCATCATCTGATGAAGCAAAACCTTCAAATTTTGGAACCGGAAGCTCGTCAGAGTGTGGAATGGATCGAATTGCAGAGGAAATACTGGGATAAGAGATCTTATGCCGATTGTTCTTTGCAACACCTCTTGTATTAACCATGCAAAAACACAGTCTGTTATGTGGTTCGTAGGTTCTCGCCAAACCACGGGAATTCCAAATGGCAGGCTTTTGCGTTGTCCCTTTGTGCAGCCACGAAGCATTTCCTCACAATAATGGTACAAAATGTGAGATGTCCATTGTTTGTTTTAGTCCTCAAGGCGTATTTCAAAGTAGGCTTTATGAACACATTTCAAAAACGAAGTGATATTCCTCCTTCGGTGAACGAATGTAGAACATCCGCATATATGGCAAAATACATCAGGTTCATTTGCCCATTTATGTCAACCTGAATGATCTATGGGCATATGTGAAACGAATTGCATGAAAACTAGAGCATGCAGAAAAAGATGGGTTTTATATTTGAAATCAACATTAAAAGTTTAGGTAGAATCCCTTTAAAGATCTCTGGCATCTGAAAGTTAACAAAATTTTGTTGCCCTGTTATCACTGCTTAACACTTGCCTACGCAGTATATCGTTGAGGACACGCTGGTGCCATCCGATGCCAGCAACACTTTGCATGCAACAATGATCAAAGATTTGAAGGCGCCTCAGAATGAAAGAACCAAGTCTCATTCCCATAGAGTAGGACGTCCTCGCTGTGGCCTTGTAAACACGACCTTTCAGTCAGACGGAACGCCCCCTACTGTCGCCGGTACAAGAAGGCAGTGCTAGCTGTTGCAATACGTGAACTGACTTCAGTGGCTATGCGCCCATGGGTGCTGATGCAGCTGCCAAGGTAAGGAAATGTATCAAATACCTCGAGTTCCTCGCTATCAAGGAAAAAGGGGTTGGCAAGGGGTTGTTAGTTTCGTACCATTCTTCATTTTGAAGGTGTGAAGCCCATGTCACCGAATACAAAGCAAGTATCATGTTCAGATACTTCGTGGGAACCCGTTTCCGTGCAGTGTTTTGAGCAGGATGGGTTGATCGACTGAGTTGATGGAAATCAAGAAGCCCAGGAAGATAGTTACTGTTGGTTTGCGGCATGTATGACGCTACTCCAGCACATGCTGCGAAGTGAGTATGTGGAGCATAAAGTCACGTCCTGGACAGAAACCCGCATGCTCTCACCAAATCCTGGATTCGCGTTCCGCATTGAGGCGATGAACAAGAATTGAGGTCAGTAATTCTGGTACCACCCTGCGCTTAGCGCAGTCAGTGTGACTACCCTAGTATACTGCTACAATGAATTATTCACTCTAATTAACTGGTATGGTCTCGTCCTTCCCGACCTGTTGGAGCAGGTGTGTCAATAATTTGCTGAGGAGGTCACCAGCATCCTTAAATGGTGTAGGCTCAAGGGAATCCGAACGAGCAGTGTGGACACGATTGAGGTCTATGGTTGGGTTTCGGACCTTATGTTCTGATAGAGTCTGCTGAAAAGATGACATACCTGCAAGTGTTTCAGTACTGCTCCTCCCAACACTAACATCCCATGCCCGATTTCGCCTTGGTTTGGACACATCAGGTGGAATTAACACGAGCTGGGGGAACTCGGGGCCTATTGGTTTACGGCTGATGCCTTGGTCCCCATGCCACTAAGATCCATGAGTAACGTTTGGCCCAGCGGTAGGAAATTTAAAGTTGAATTTGGAGTACGCGCCGTGTGGCTGGATTAAGACACGCAGTCTCTATAGACCACGGTTCATTTGACGTAGCCCACGGTCATTCCGAGCACAAGTACCAAACACGAAATGGAGGTGTTTCGGTGTTGCTCCTCCAAACACTGACACCCCATGACCGGTTTCGTACTTGTTTAGACCCATCAGACGGAGATAGCCTGAGCTGGGATGGAACTCGGGGCCTAGTGGCTAAAGGCTGACGTCTTGGTCACTATATCCACGTCAAAGCGAGCCGAATTCTCAATAGAGATTGCGCGTCGCAATCCAACCACACAGTGTATTGCAAATTCAAGTTTGAATACCTTACCGCTATGCTAAGGGTTGCTCACCTGATCGGAATGACCAAGATCCACTTCAAAGGGAACCGAGGTCACAAAAGAGATTGCGTGTCGTAATCCAACCACACGGCTGGTACTGCAAATCCAAGTCTGAATTACACAGCTGCCTAGTAATCCAGAAATTATCGGTTCGAATCCGTTTACGCGTGGGACACATCGCGGTACACCCGGCCCATGCGCGACTGTGAGTGTTCGCGTGCCAGCGAGATGTCGGTCCGATGTGCTGACGTACTGCTCACGCAATGGTTCTGTCTGCTCCATACCTGTAGGAAAACGTCCAGGTGTGGTGTGTCAACTACTGAACTCTCGAAAGTTTCTCGCTTAACGAGCCAGATGACGCGGGCTTACAGTGCGATGAAGGCGACAGGCGCAACAGCAAGCAGAAAGTGTATGCTCAGCATGCCGACTGCTGCGTCTATTATGGGCAAACATTGACATCTAAGGCCATTAGGAGCATGCTAGTGTTGCACGCCTACATATTGCTAGGTGAAATGAAGTACCAAAACACTTGACTTCCGTTTATGAGTAATAGGGGTTGTAATTGTAGTTTGGTCTGCGTTTGCGGGGGGAAACATTTGATTCTTGTGGTGGTGCGTGAGACTATCAAAGGCACAGGCTACTAAAATGAGCTGGAATGACAGACTAAAAAACATAGCACTTACCAGCCTTGGCAACTTCTTTGATACGCCGAGATAACTGCTGCAGCCCCACAGATGACATAGTTAAGCAGGTAACAAAATGAGCGTTCACTTTGGGTGGATTTAAGGGGGCATTGAGGTCGTGATCTGTTTGTCTACACGGCGGTAAATCGCATACTTGGCAGGCCGCAACGGATGACGCTGGTGGACAAAGGACTAAGTCGTTGAGCAATGTTTCAGTATGATGCCAAATCATTTCCAAAAACCTGCTAATTACTTGGTGCCTAATACTGACTTCACGATGATCGCTCCATTGCACAGACTTCTTACTACTGTGTTGTCCAGCTGAAATCTGCGCCCCTGGTGTACCAGTGGGGACAACCGTTGCTGGATATTTTGAAGTTAGGCTATCCGAGTTCATGGGTGAGCACAACACCGAGCCAGTTGCCACATAACGATCGAAAGTGCATGCACGATGAAGTGTGTCCTGGAACTGCAAGATGAAGTTTCTCCGATCTTGTGATGAACGAACGCGTTGACTGAAGTGAGCTGAACCAGATGCCTTGTCTCCGGAGTCGCGCCGCAGAAGGATACCATGCTTTCCCTCCACACTTAGAGCACGGAACGAGTGAGGCATATCAGGCTCCAGAACGGTTGCTGTAGAAGCCGTGGGTAGTTGCGTTTCTCGGAGAATTTCCGTTCTTTTTGCTTGAGCACCAGTACCAGTAGTGCAGACTGCCTTCAGCGTTTGCACCTGGTGCAGTAAGTTTGTTGATTGCGATAACACATCCAAAAAGTTTGCAATAAAGTCGTACTCAGCTCGGAGGTAATCTGGATCAGTGCGGTGATAGTGTTCGTTGAGATAGCGGCGAAACTCCTCCAGCAACGTGTGCTTTGACTTCGGATCGTCTAAAGGTTTATCCTTGAGCCCAGCTTCAGAAGGATCGCTGTAATTCGAAATGCTTAACAACTCGCAGTAAATTGCATAGGACAGTCTGAAGGACCGGTGGTGGGCAAGCAGTACAAACAAGTAGCCAAGAGAAACCGATGACACCGAGAGAATAGGATCCCAAAATAAATTCTGATGTATCATGAGTTGCTCAATTAACGATGAAGAAGATAGATATGCAACGGCCTGAAAGAGATTTTGTACTACCGCCAGTGTACGGGATGTTTGGCGCATTGTATGGACGGAGTTACTGAGAATGTCTAATTCTTCCACACCTCGAAGCATTTCCCACAATTCACCATGAGTGAAACAGGTCAGTTCGATGTGCGCTATAGTACAGAGGCCACTGTACGCCAGATGGTGGGCAGCAAGCAAAGATGTGCAAATCAAACTATTGAGTTTCACATTGAAGTAATGGGGTAGAGTATCGAGTTCTGAATCGTACACAGACCTCATGGAACCATGAGCCATACGATCAGTGAAGTGACAAATGGTGTGTTTTTCGTGAGTGAACTGAGTTACTTGGGACAAGCACTGTCGTATGCCTTCACAAAGAACACGCAGCTCACCTAACTGGTTACTGATGCTGGGAGTGTGAGGAAAAGGGGATGCCGAGTGGCAACCTTGCGTGCACCGGATGCGCTGATCTGTGGTTGGGAAGGCAGATAAGTTTGGGTTGTAAAACAAAGCTCTGATACATTGCTCAAAATTTTTATACTGTTCTAATGCAGTGATCTCAGCGTGCCTGGTCAAGTCAAACAAACCACTTCCAATTTCATTAGTGACACCATCAAGTACGTCCAGTCTAACGGCACCAGATATCAATTCACAGAGCCGGTGTAATCGAGTCGGTTGAATTAGGTGTGCAGTTTGATCTGTTCCTGAGAGCTCATCAGAGCATCGTGTATGTTGGCAAAGGAACGTCGGTTCTTCTCCGTTTCTTCTATGAGGCTGGTAAATAGAAATGTGGTGAAAACGACACAATGAGGTATCCATACCGAAGAAAAAATGAGTAGAGAGGTTTCCATTTGAAGAGAACGAGCGCAAACGATCGGGAAACATAAACGGATAAAGTGTCATGAAGACTGGCTAAACATAATACGCTACAAGACCACAAACCAATCTATTGTTGTCATGAAACCAGAGACAACAAAGTGCTATTTGATAAACTGCAAGGTACACACATGGCATCCATTCGCAAAGTTGGATGCCAATGCGACATGACGGTTCTATTCCACTGCAAACCGCCGGATCTCGCAGAAGCGCCAAGATGGCACAGTTTATCATGACAGGAAAACACCAGATGTATAGCAGTGAAGGTACAAGTCCTGATCGATTAGAGGCAAAAGAAGAAACATAAACCATGCTTCCATTCAGTTAAGGAATTCAGATCAGATTAACCTAAACTTCTAGACCGCAACTGTTGCGAACCGCGTAAAATGGTAACAAAATGGACAGACATAAAAATTAGTGATAAAGCGTGAAGTAACAAATAAAAAAGTTTACAGAAGAGAACTGTCCGGAAAAAATACTTAAAAAACCGAGATGCAAGTGAAATGCTGTCTGTGAAAATGCTATAACGGCAAAGGGCTCTAACCAGTGACATGACAGAACACGATGCCATATCCAGGAACACAGCAGACATCAACCCGACATTGGTCGACTACGGCTGACGAGATTACCCTCATCTGTGACTGCTCACAAACGTGCCAAGCGGCACTGGACAGATTAGCACTAGCTGTCAGCCGTTTCAGGCTATGCTTTGCACCCTCAAAGTGCAAAGCTTTCCTCCAAGATTGGCAGGAACCGCCTCCTGCGCTGACCCTTGGTGGGGATCAGCTAGAAGTCGTTCAAAAGTTCAACTACCTAGGTAGTTGTATCAGCGTCGCTGGAATCGATGACGTGGTCACAAACCGTATAGCAAAAGCTCAAGTCACTATTGCTAACCTTCGCCACCAATGGCGTCGGTGCGGCATTACTCTTTCCCTGTAGGGTAGTATACAATGCAGCGGTATGTTCGACCCAACTGTACGGTTGTGAAACCTGGCCCCTTAGATCAGCGGACATAAAGAAGCAAGTTACGTTCGATCACCGGTTCATATCTGGTGGGAACACCGTGTGAGCAATGATCGTGTTCGACGCCTTGTTTACGGCACAGGAATAGGAACTGAACCGCTCAGCACCGTTATTTCGTGCACAAGGCTCCGATGGCTGGACCAGGTTTTGCGCATGCCAGCCCACCGACTTCCGCGACACGCATTGTTTGCGAGCCGCGGGTGTGGATGGAAGAAAAGGAGGGGTGGCCAAGCGATGACTTGATCGAGAGGAATGAAGGCCCTTACCTCGATGTTCGCTTCGGTTGGAGCATGTCGGCTCCCTGGTTAGGGTCCGAAAAACGATGAACACGTTTGGCTGGATACACTTGTTGACATGGCTAGGAGCAGACCATAATGACGTTTGTGTTGTGAGTTCCTTTGTCCCTCCCCTCCGCTTAGCCTCCCCATCAAACCACGATCTCTGTCAGTAGGTAGTACATAACCTTTTGCGGCACAATAGTAGGGCCGTTAGCTCTCCGTAATGATGTCCATCCGTTACTGGTGACATCCGGCGTGCTTCTGTTACACAGTTTTGCTATTCTTTTGTATTACATCACCATAGCTGAGGTGTTTTCCACCTGCAGCTAGCATGTACAATGATGATGACGCGAATATTTTCGGCGTGAGATGCTGATCACGTTGCGAGATTACTTGAGCAGCAGTGGTACAAACAAACAACCCACACCGCGAAAGATAGGTGAAGGGTACCGAGAGAATATGACATGCTTAACATAAACCGTCTAATTCAGTAACGAGATCCCCAGTGGTGCCAAAGTGACTACTACAGACGGATACAAGTACCCCTCATTCTGTACTACCAAGAGAGATGAGCAATAAGTCACGAATACTCATCGTTAAAAAACACCAATATCTCAATGTTCTTAACGCACATTGGTCGTTTCAGTTTTCCATTCACAAACATACAACCCAGATATCTCTGCAAATATTCAAGCATGCAGGACGCCATATAGGTCCACCGAAGCAGTAAGCGACCATTCTAATGAACTGGCCACAAGATGCCATATGGCTCTCTACGTAATGGAGCCAATTCATCGACTCCGGTGGCTGTTAAGTGATGATGAGAATCGGTGGCGTGCAGGTTCGGTTAGGCAACAATACTTTGCATTTTGAAAATGCTAAGTGCGTGTCGAAGCGTACAGTGCATTCCGTAAGGATTCTAATATCACCCACTGTAGGCCAGGTCGTTTGTGTGCTGTAGGTATTCCGCAAGAACCCGCAGTAATTATAGTATATAGGATGCACACAGGATATAATAATTTACAATCGTTTTAGCCAGAGGTGAAGAAAATGGGGAGATGGAATGGCCCAGAAGCTCTTTACGTCTTCCGGTGACCTCAAGGGACCGCCACATCCCGCAACAATGAAGAGCTGACAATCCAAGGTGGATTTTTTCGAGAGTAGAAAATGAGATACTGATGCCATAAGTTGGAACAGGCAATTCGATAGAGAACAGCGACCGAATTGTTTGTCAAAAGAACACAAGATCATAGGTGAACAATTGTTTTCGATGATCCTCTTCAGACCATTACAATCATATTTGAGGGTAAAATACTGAACTGAAGTCGACTCATTAGGTCAAGTTACATAGTTAATTAACGGATCAGTGAGGGAGGCTAAAAGTTGACCATTGATCTGACAGGTCCATTGCATGTTATCGAGCTTGATCTGTGGCAATCGACCTCAGTATCGTTCGTTCTAGCAGGCCAGGGAAGCTGCAAGGCATGGAGCAACTTCTTTTGCGAGCATAATGAAGGTTGAAATAACCGAATGCAAATCGATTCAGCTGTCGCGAGCGCACGGAGGCGCAAACCTCTTGATTGATGATGGGGGACCCTGTAAATTATCCTGAAGGCACGCTTTAGATCGACTTGGTGCCCCGTGTCGACAATATGGGTCAAAACGGCGCTGCTAATGGCTCCAGTTCCTCCTTGACGCAACCAGCGCGGGCAGTGCTCCTTCACGCGTTTGGACAAGTGCCGTGCCGTTCGACCAATATAAGTAGCGTCACAAACGCACTTGAACTGATAAATAACCATAGATGAGGTCAGCAATGGCAGCGTATCCTTATTGCGTGAGCAAACAAGTGGTTCAGTAGAAAATGTGCACTTTAACCTGGCTGCTGGGAATGTCGACTTGACTACCGCTAAAAGACTTTTGGTTAGGCGCTCGGCAGCGGCATCCCCCTTAAAAGGTATTCTTAAAAATAACTCCTTCTTCGCCGCGGTTAAAACTGGTGCCGGCTTGGGCTTTTCTTCAAAATTCTTTGAAACAAATCTATCAGGGTAGCCATTCTCGCGCAGCGTATTCTAGGCTAGTTCCTCATCCAGGGTGTCCTGTGAGCAAATTCTACGTGCTCTTGTGGTAAGGCAGTGGATTAAGTTTCGCTTATATCTCAGTGGGACGAAACTGTGAAAATTCGTGTACTGACCAATCCACGTATTTTTCCTGTAGACTTTCCGCTGGATGGAGCCGTCTGGCCTCCTAGTTAATAAGACATCTAGATATGGAAGCCGATTGCAAGTTTCTGCCTCGTAGGTAAATTGTAATGCTGCGTGAGCCCGGTTAAAACGATCGAGAACTTCATCCAGATTTATGCCTTTATCTGCCACTATACATATATCATCCATATAACGATAGTAGTGATCAAAAGCTTTTATCTCCGCTTGCAATTCTGTTCGCTCCAATTTGGCCAAATTGGCTGTTCTTGGATTATGTCCAGTCTATTACCAGTAATCGTGTACATCGGAGGCGTTCGGTTTTAGAAAAAAAGCTGTCAGTTAAAACCGCAAGCGGTGTTCAAACAAGCCCGAAAGGTACGTACACAACTTTTCTAGCGTGAAACTGGATACAAGTTTAATTGAAGTTCTATCGCTCGGTTTAAAATTTTGTGCACCTAGACGCAGAGACAACCAAGTTCATTACGAGTTGCAATTCGAAAATCTATATGACCAAACGAATGGGTTAACACCTACGTCTAATATGGATCTTGAACGCTTTAAGTGCTTCTTGGTACATTGTTGCTATCAATATCGTAAACACCGTGTCCATAATTGTGGTCCATTAACAAGAAAGCACCTAGACGCGCTGAAGGATCTTAAACGCAATGAGGAGGTGATTCTGTGCAAACCGGACAAGGGTGCCGGTATTGTGTTATTAGACAGAAAAGATTATATTGATAAACTCAACCATTCTGAGCGATAAGACGAAGTTTTCCTGCGACACGAGGGAAGCTGACCAAACGGAACAGATTGAGAGACAGATCACTAAAAGCCTACAACAGCTTCGGGCCAAGGAGTACATAACCGATGCATTGTATGACAGTCTTAGACCTTGTGGCACAAACGTTCCGAGACTTTACGGCTTGCCAAAAATCCATAAGGCCGACATCCCGCTTCGTCCTATTCTGTCAATCGTTAACTCCCCCTACCACGCAGTTGCCCAGTGGCTTGTAGGAATTCTTGAGCCGGTGAGACAACAGCTTGTGACTTACAGCCTGCGCGACAGTTTTCAGTTTGTCGAGAGCTTCAAAGAGGCCAAAGTTAATGAGAAAGTGATGCTCTCCTTTGATGTTGTCTCGCTTTTCACTAACCTTCCGCTGATCGAAATCATCGATTACATTTGCGAGCAGATAACGAAGTTGGAAATTAAGATTTGTATACCTGTGCTTGAATTGAAAAACTTATTGCTGCGGTACACATGGAATGTGCAATTTCTATTTAATGGTAAATTTTACCGGCAAAAGGATGATGTAGCCATGGGATCCCCCCTCGGTCCATTGTTCGCAGATATATTCATGGCCAAATTGGAGCGAACAAAATTGCAAGCGGAGATAAA